AATCCTCTCCATTCATTCAAATTGGTGCATATCCCCATGCAGTTCTCAACCCATGTGAATGTGATCTCCTATTTGAATGAGTGGATGAGATTGTGTCACCTCACTACCAAGCACAGAATTTGTACTTGGTACCAAGCATACTCATATGCCTTGGTACCAAGTTCTTTCATTGAACTTGATAGTGAGGTGGCCAAATCTAGCCCCTACATCATGCCTCGGAGATGGAGCCTCTTTTTTAAAGTAGGTGAATAGTAATTGAGGCTCTCTCTCCGAGGCATGATGTAGGGTCTTGATTTGGCCACCTCACTACCAAGTTCAATGGAGAAACTATATATATATAGAGAGAGAGAGAGAGAGAGAGAGAGAGAGAAATGGGTATGTTTGGTACCAAGTACAAAAAGTTATGTTTGGTTGTGAGGTGACATAATTGTTGTGCGCAGCGAAAATTTCGGCAGCACCTCGGCAACACAACAAGAGAATTAGGTCGCAATAGAAATTCCTATTTCACAAAGGAAATAAGAACCTTAAGTAAAATATCTCAACAAAGTGAGATATCAGTTCTTCCTCTCATCAATTCTAGGACTGACCTGTCGAGGGAACCTAAATAAGCTATTACAAATCACACAAAAGCGAGACAAACTAATTTTACGTGGTTCAACAAATTGCCTACGTCCACGGGGGAAGGAGGGGGAGATCTACTATTAGAGGGAGATAATACAACTAGGGTTTATAATCACATAAATTCAAACCCTCAACCAAGCTCTCAAATCCCTCACACAAATATCTTTCTCAAAAGGCACAAAAAGACTACACACAAAATTCTCCTCTGTACTTGCACTTTTTCTCCAAGTCTGTGTTTTTTCTCCTGCAGCCGCCCACTTCACAAATACTTGCACCCAGCAGCAATTAAAAACAAACTCCTTGCACGCCGCACAAACCCTCCTTCGCACGAAGCCCTAGAAGACCAATTACCAGCTATATATTGCTGGGACATTGGATCGGGTGGGCCTGCTATATTCGGTGTTCACGGGAGCGAAAAAGAGACACACGCACCCTGTGGCCCCCACAAGACGCGTGAAAAACACGTTCACAATTCTCCACCTCTGTAAAGTTTTTTCAAAACTGAGCCGACACCAAAGCATCCAAATATCCCACTTGTTATGTCTAGTACGATGTGGAGTAAATCCACGACAACGGACTCAATCCACAACAAGTCGGGAATCCGAACGAGAGTCCAAACAATCTAACCCCCATCAAAACCAACTAATCCAAACTGATTGCATCGTAAAGACTGCCTACGTATCCTCTTGTCCAAGGAATCAAGCCTCACGTAGTTCACCCAAATGGCTGCTAACGGCCTCAACAATCACGAATGTGCAACAAGTTTCGACAATGATCAAACGTGTTGCTCAAAACCACCTTAGTGAGCATATCCGCCGGATTATCCTTCGTGTAGACTTTCATAATCTCCACATCGCCATCTTTAAGAACATCATGAATGAAGTGATAATGAACGTTAATGTGTTTCGTCCTCGCATGAAAAACCTGATTTTTCGCCAAATAGATAGCACTCATGCTATCATAATAAATAGTGACGGACCGCTGTAATATACCAAGTTCCTCCAAAAGTCCCCGAAGCTAAATAGCCTCATTCACAGCCTTCGTAACCGCTGTATACTTTGCCTCCATCGTAGACAAAGCCATAGTAGACTATAAGGTGCATCTCCAACACACCGGCGTATGGGTCAAAGTGAACACATACCCCGTCGTAGACCGATGTTTATCCAAATCCCCGGCATAATCCGAATCAACATAACCAATGCATAGCTGCCCACATGTAGTGTCCCACTCATAAACTAAACCAACATTAAGCGTACCTCAAATGTACCTCAAAATCCATCTCACGGCATCCCAATGACCCACTCCTGGATCGTGCATGTATCTCGAAACCATGTTCACCGTCTGTGACAAGTCTGGTCTCGTACAGACCATCGCATACATAAAGCTCTCAACCGCGCTCGCATATGGAGTCTTCGACATTAACTCTCGATCTTCAACTGACTTCGATGAAAGATCAGCTGAAAGCTTCAAATAGGCTCCCAATGGTACACTAACTGGCTTCGTATCCATGCTAATATAAAATCATTGTAGAACCTTTTTCAAATAAACCACCTGTGTCAAACAAATTCTTCCCTTCTTCTTATCTCTGTGGATCTCCATCCCTAAAATATGCTTCGCCTCACCCAAATTCTTCATCTCAAACTACTTTGAAAGCTGTGCCTTCAACTCATCTATAAAAGAATAGAGGCAACCAACATGTCATCGACATAAAGTAACAAATAGATGTGGTGCTCCTTTCAAGTTGTAAAAATATACGCAGGGATCAAACTAGCTCCGAGTGTACGAATAACCAAGCATAAAACCATCGAATCGCCTATACCACTGTCGAGGAGACTGCTTCAAATCGTATAGCGATTTATTCAATCTGCAAACCAATTTTTCTTTCCAGCTGAGTCATATATATTTGTTCATCAAGATCACCATAAAGAAATGTCATCTTCACATCCAACTGATCTAACTCCAAACCATACTGTGCCACCAAAGCTAGCAAAATCCAAATCGAATAGTGCTTCACCATAGGAGAGAAAACCTCGTTACAGTCAATTCCTCCCTCTTGTGCATAGCTCTTCGCAACCAACCTAGTCTTGAACCTCATTGGAATGCCCTCAATGCCCTCCTTCTTCATGTATACCCACTTGCAACCAATTGCCTTCCGCCCCTTTGGAAGCTCAACAAGCTCCCACGTATCATTCTTGTGAAGAGACTCCATCTCCTCCTGCATAGCTACCTGTCATGAATCAGCTTCCGAACTCTGCTCGGCCTCTCTGAATGTAGTAGGCACCATCTCATCGATACTCTCCATCAGAAGTGCATACACAACTGTGTCGGCATACTGTGTTAGCATCCGTATGTCTCTCCTCTGTCTCTGAACCGTAATAGAATCCTGAACCTGAACCATCGGTCCATGATCCTACACATCAATACCCGTATCCTCCGTGTCACCGTCGTGTTCACCTGGCGTCACCTCAGTCAGCACTATAATGAATACTGCACCATCTAGACACTGTGGAGCTGCATTGATCTCCACCACCTACGATATCTCCTCTGTTGGGTCGCTCTCCACCTGACGAGAGCTGGGAAGCTTTAAGATAGAAGCCTCATCGAATGTGACGTCCCTACTGTAGGCATCAAAAATTGCCTATAGGTCTCCATGAACGGCTCAGTGTTAAGGAACGACGATGAACGTCACTATCCGGTTTACAGGAGTTTGATTGATGTCAATGAACGCTTGAAGTAAATCGACGAACTACGTGAACTAACGAAGGTACGGGCTAATCGGGAGCCCCGTGATGTTTACAAAAGGAACAATTCCCTTCGTGTCTCATTCATTCTACAGATGATCCAACCATCGGAGCTGATAGAACTCTTTGTCGGCTTTCTAACACACTTCGAATCACTCAAATTCGAGTTCGGACGAAGAAATTACGGTGAAAACAGATAAATACACCATATAGAGTGTCTCGGACCAATGAGACACCCTTCGGTGTCTCGGCTAAGGCCGAGACACCCTAGGGGGTCTCGGCCCAAACCGAGACACCCTAGGGTGTCTCGGATCAATGGGAGACACCCTAGGGTGTCTCCGATCAAATGGAGACACCCTGGGGTGTCTCCAAGGCAGATTTGGGCCTTTAAGTGTTTTTAACCGCTCCGTTATCCCCTCAAGCCTATAAATACAAGCCTTAGGCCTCATTTTTCAGGATCTGGAATTTTGGAGAATTGGCGAAGCCCTGCCGAACTGAAGAGTGATCGAGTTCTTCAACACAAGAGATCGAAAGTCGTCAGATCTATATCACCCGCATCCAATCCTTAGTATTATTCCATTGTGATAATTCTAAGAAGAGCAATTATCTCGCTTTTATCGAGATAGGCGCTTCTGTTTCTAGATCTCCTCGCGGATCAACGAAGCTCTGGACCTGATCTGATTGCCAGGTAGTCCACGGATATCGACATCCCCGTAACAGGCTAAAGACCCACGCAAGCAAGAGACGACGAACGGATCTTGTGTTATTTTCGAGAAAGTTATAATTTTTCTTCTTTTCTTTTGATTAAGATCTGAATTCTTTGTAAACACTAATATTATAATGAGTTCAGTGATCTGAATTCTTTGTAAACACTAATATTATAATGAGTTCAGTAATGAAGGTAACTTTTACCGAAAACACCTACTAAGCACAATCT